TTGAGGTTGTGTGATAGTATTGTTGTTCGTTTGATTTGCGTTAGTGATATCCTGCGAACTTATGCGTCCTGTATGCAGCGCCGGAGTGCCTGTCACTGCTCTTTGCTGATGTTGTTGTTGATAGAAATTTTGATGGAAATTCGTTATCATTGCTGGGTTATGATGGTAGCCAGTTCCATGCCCTATTAAAGTTGTCATAAAACCATTGGCCACGACAAAATTTCTAAAAATATAAATAAAAATTATTGCGTTGTTTTTTGTGTTTAATTGTAGGCTGTGATGTACTTAAATGTCGTAAAATTAATTTCGTGCTAATTTTATTATGAATATTAATTTTAAACTTGACACATTTTACTTCCGTTCATTATAAGCATAAAGTTAGGGGTAATTTTATGTGTATGTTCGTACTTGGATGTTAAAAAATATATATACTTTATATCATCTGATTATATATTAAACAGGCATATATTTTTCAAAATATATTAAATGATATATGTATTTGATATAAGAATTTACTACTGAGTTCAACTTTACAGAAAACAAAGTTTGTCAGAGGCAGAGACAAAAGTTTCAGGCCCTTTTTAAAACTAGTATATAGCGATTCTTAGCTTCGATTTCGTGGAGTCGAACACTTTTGCGGTTTACGTATGGTTGGTTTAAATTTATATATTTGGTAAGATTCGTATATCTGCAATTCCCCAATTAAGGAACGGGTTTCAGCAACTTTTTCCACTACAATATAAGTGGATAACCAAGATCATGCGAAATTACCGTTTTCAAAAAATGGCAGTATGTTATAGTAGTTTCTGCCTAGACTTATTAAGAGAACGTGGAAAAAGTAATGTTAATTGCAGATAAAAAGAATGGTCAATGGTACATTAGGATGAATGACATCCTCAGGGACCTCAAGATTGATCCCATCAAAAAATACATAAAGGATAGAGCCCTGAAATTATTTGCGAAATCTGACAGACTTACCAACACCGCGTTATCAAATCTCAGAATGGTTAAAGGCTCCTCTGGGAGGTATGCAGATCTAAGATCAATTATTGCTTAGTCTGATGAAGTGATAAACAATAATCTAGTCAAGGCGCAAGAGGGGTTTTGAAGAAACCTCGCAGTTAATAGAGAGTAAAGGTGTTTAGGTGCACTGACTCAACTAGCCTAAACATAATTTAAATCTTTTTTAGTTGTAGTCAGTAATAGTTAAGCAAAATTTTATTTAATTAATTCTAGCTCAGACAAATCTTTATGAAAGGAAATCCACAAACTCAGCTGATAAGTATATTATTTCTATCGTAAATGAATCGCTAAAAATATCGGAATGTTATTATAGAATTGTTAGTTCTGTCTTTTCAGGGATAGTCTGCTTACTAATTAGTGTTAATAAGTGGAATCGAGTTATAAATTAGTCTGCTCTCTAAGTCATATTTAAATAAAATTATATGAAAAAAAATCGATATGCCTATGGAATTAAATTAATTTTAATATAAACGCCTAAATTAGTTTTCATTTATGTGTTAAAACCTTCTATATAGAGTATTTTTACCCACCGAAGAAGCAAAGAGAATTCATAGAAAGGAAATCAATTGTACTTATAAAGTCTATTCCACAAGCTACACTAGTAGAAGTCAAGTAAATCACAAGTGTAGTACAAACTGAGAGCGTAACACAAACTGAGAGCCCTTTACACATATTTTCATGGAACAGCTTTGTGTAAAATCTGGTGGGAACACCAGTGCCGCGTCAACACAAATTTTACTTGACATAATAGGTCTGTTCCACGAGCTATTCGTAGGAACTTTGTGTAACACTGTGGATACACAAGTGCGTGAGTTGAATTCTCCATAAATATATACCTTTGTTCAACAATTGTACGTTGTCACTATACCAACTTTTTAGAAAACTATCAAGTAAAGCAGTTGATTCTTTGATTTGTCCATTCACCTTTTTTCAACAAGATAAGGTTGAGGTTGGTGAACAAGTTAGTAGACTCTGTGTATAACAAGTTAGGATTACTTGAATGCTCATTACTCAGATGTGCTATCGGGTAGTAGGGAGATATGGAAGTGGTTACTTCTTACGTGTCGTAAATGAGGAAGTCGCCAACAAAAAACTTTTTAACCTTACTAGGCAGGAATAATGTCTAAGATTTGACTAGGGATCAGCTTAGATCTGAAAAATTTTAAAAGGCTTCAACTTCCTTCTTTTCTCAGTAATTAGAATTTTTCAGAGAAGTGTTTTAGATTCTAAATTTAATTTCCTCGCTAAATTATAAAATTTTCCAACATAAATTTATTTTCCACTCTTCAATCCAAAAACAACTTACTAAAGGTTTTCATAAATTTCACAAATAAGTAAAGGAAATTGTAATTAACAAAAGGAAGGACCGAGTTACCTGTATTGTTGATCAATTTGTGCTTTCTCAATGCGTTTATCCTTGGCGCGTCTATTCTGAAACCAAATTTTAATTTGTGTTTCTGTAAGACGTAAAGTTTCGGCCAATTCAAATCTTCTGCTGCGTGAAATGTATTCATTTCGATGAAATTCCACCTCAAGACGCAACGTCTGCTCTGTGCTAAAAGTTGTGCGTTGACGACGTTGTCTTCCATCCTTGCGTCGACGACGTGCCACTGCAAAATACCAAAAAAAAACAAAAAAAAATAGAAGAAAATAAATAATTTGTTATTAATCTCTTTTTTATTGTTATATATAAATGATAAGTGTGGGCATATGTTGATGAACATGAAATTATCGAGATTTCCTCAAACCACCCCGAAACTATAAATAACAATAAACCGCACAAAAAACGCCCACACTGACTTCTTCCTCAAATGTCCGAAGGCACGCATCAACCAACAGCCACAATGGAGATGTTAAAGTGAAATTAATCTTACATTAACGAGATATTATGACACAATCGAATTGTGCCTGCTCCGAAATGAGTTATTGTGTCTAACAATGCATTTGAGAGTAACTCAACTATGAATTCTGATTATAATTGCGTGACAATTACAAAACGCCATGTAAATAAATAATTAAGTCCTTCAGTGCAAGCGAGTAGTGTCTTCCCATCCGTTGCTTTTCGTCTCATGCATTTTTAAGTTTTTTTGGATTGTTTTCTCGGATGCGCTAGTTATGTTGATCCGGGAATTCGTGAACAATGAAAACAGCTGCAATGGGAGAAGCTATTGTTTGGTATGCACTTGTGTGTTTGGGCTGAGAGTGAATGTGTACATAATGTTTGCCGACTGGCGGTACTTTAACGCTACGCCACAATCATCATTATCCGTCATTTAAATGCTATTAAAATTTTTGGTAGTGTAGTTTTGAAATCCATTTTAAGTCTTTGATTGAGGCTATAAAGTGTTAAGTAGACATAAACACGATTGTAAAAAGGGGAAGCTATTTATAGTAACGATAGTATGTAGTTGTTTAACTATTGACTAAGGACTTAGATTGTTAGTCCTTTAATTAAGAAGAAGCATTGATAAAGATTCGGAATTGAACTTTGATGAACTGTTTTCGTTAGTCTAAGATGCATTTTGTCTTATAAGCTGTATGTGTTATGAAGTAGATACTATTAATTTTTTTAAAAAGCTTCTATTATTCTCTAATATATAGTCCAGATTTAAGATACTTATAGTAACGCTGGTTTTAGTTGTGAAAACTTTAATTCAAAGCCTTCTTATGATAATTTCCATTTATTTTGTTGAATAGTCTTCATAGTCTTGAAAATTATTTCAACGTGAACTACAATTTATTAAATTCATAGAAATCGGTACAGATAGACTTAACCTAAATTCATGTGGTTTTATAAACCAGTGTTATGAGTTTGGCAAAAACTTATCCAAAGATTAGGTAATACCGGACCACTTTGCCTTCATAACATAGGATCAGACCCAGACAACTTATCAAGAGAAATGTGGTTTATACTGCTACTGTAAGGTCACTGGGGTATAAGAATCTACGTAGAGAAATTGAATCTTCTATTTAAAAGTTGAAGAAGTTACTGAAATTTAGATGAAACAAAGATAATCACACATTTTCTCTGTGACTGCCCATTTTCAGCTAAAAGACATAGGTTGTTTTAAGGGAATTACTTTCTTGACAGTTTGTTGGACTGCTTATTAGTAAGAATAAAGAGTCTGTTAAACTACATAGCTGGATAGCTGGATGAGTTTAGTTTGTCCAAAAGAGATTCTTGCTATAAATTTGGTATTAAAACGGCAAATAATTGCTAATAATATGAGGCGGTGGCATATCTATCGATCTACCAATGCAATCAACCAATCAATCTTAGAGTTAGTTACAGTCATAATACAGACCATTCTACGTTTTGTAGTTGCAGAAAATGCCCATGAATTAAGTTTTGTATTTAACAAACAGAACTTGGAACTGATAAGCTAGGTTGTGATAAGTAAGCATCTTACTATTTTAAGATGCATAAGTCTTACTAGTTCTGTTACGTGAGAGGTGATCAAGCTAGAGTTACCAAAGGTCTTAAAAAAAATTTACATTACAGTAATAGTTTGGACGTAGTACTATCGAACCCTGAAGTAAATGTAAAAATTGTAACCTTGTCTAAATGCTTGATGTCTACAACAAGTTAGTAGTTTGTGGATATGGCGAGTATTCTCAAATAAATATTGTTATTATGGGTCTGTTGCGTTATGGATGTTGTTAAGAAAACTATATTTATACACTAATAATTTTTTTTGAGTAGCCAAATTCTTCCCCGAAGTCTTTGATTATTATGAATACAATCTTTTTAAATTATTAATTAAATTTTTGACTAATTTGATCTATATAGTTTGAATATGGAGCTATTCTTAATGGCTTTTTCTTTTCCTTTATATAAATAATTGTGGTAAAAACTTATTCGAGACCTATAGCTATTTTTCTTGTTTCTTTATTTAATTTAATTAGTTCTTTTTGTATTTTATTGGATTATATTTTATTTTTACTTCTTTTCCTATAATGAAAACAATACCTACAATGAATGTTATCGTTATCGTTATTGTTAAAAAATTATTAACCCTTTAACTCCAACTTCAATTTTCTCCTAAACTACAAATCAAGTTCTGACTAAACTGCGAGTAAACTTGGAATTTGATATGTCTATTTTTTGTTATCCGTTCCTTGCCTTTTGTATTCGTAAATTTTACAACAAATCCTGGCTGCCGTTTTTTTGGTTTCCTCCTTAAAGATCAATTACAATGTTAACTTTTTCTTAATGATTTCTTTAAATCCTTTTTTTCTAAACTTTGTAAAGCTTTACACTATTTTTTAGGCTCGTACTAAGCACTTGGCTAACTTGTTTCGCCACAAAATGTAAACGGACTAACCACATTCACCGACTTTAACGCTTGAGTAGACATTTTAATCTGAAGTTTTTTCCGCACCTTCAATATGTGCGCTTCCCCTTGCCAAAGTTTTTTTTTCTTTTAAATTTGATACCTTTTTTGTGATTTACAAAAAAAAAAAAATATAACAAAGTGTTTTGGTAAGATTATTATTTATATATAATAGAAAAAATATATCCACATTTTTTTTTACTTCTCTACCGGAACTACAACTTTTTCCGTAAGATTTACAATTAAACTTTATTTTTTTTTTCATGGTAATATTTTTATAACAGAAACACCTGTGACATTTTTTTTTATTCAGGGTTAATGTGAATTTTAATACTTAATTGCTTACTAATAAAACACATCCTGATTAAAATATTTAAATTGATAATATTTTTTTTAATTTTAGACATGCATCCTGCTTTGCGTAGACCATCATACAATACCATTATTATGGTCAGACAAGGCATGGCTTTTACCAGGCATCTCAAACGCATCTATATGGATAAAGCGGATAATATTAAAGTACTAAAAATCTGCATTTACTTCTTTAAATCATTTATTCAATAATTCATGGTAGACATCCATATCAGCAGTTCATTAGGTTAATATATTTGATAGTGATAAAATCTAAAATCCTTTATTTTAAAGTTGGTGGCACAACTTTTCAAAACTCATCTGTTCGATGTGGAAATTATAGTTTTAACACCAGCACTTGACTTGCATTGATTGTTGTTGTTGTTTTTATTAACCATGTAGTTCAATGAAAGGAGAAAATTCAACGAAATGATGACCGATAACTGTACTGTCATTGTACTGTCTACATGAAGACCCTTCCAACCCACATTAGAAAAAGCCTACGTTTTTCACTGGGTTCCTTTGGTTCAGCGCGAATTTTCACTGACTAAATGTACAATCAATACGTAGAAAAGCATTTACATCAAACTGAAGAAAACGCTCCCCTAGGAGACGACAAATATCAAATAGACACATAGCTCCCTCTGAAATCACTTTGGAGGTGTTGAACGGTACTTGATCGCCAAAATTGACAAGTGGCTCAGGAACCTAAAGCGGGTTGTTCCTGGATACATTCTCTAGAAGTAGCCAGGTTCTCCTGACTGGATCCGGGTTGATTTCAATTTAAATTCTACCCATTAACAATCCAACCATTTTCCCTTTTTTCCTACCCCCAACCTTAAACCATTCCCATTCACTTTCTAACACACGCAGATTACAACAAACAACCAGTTGAGATAAAATGCGTCTATCCAAGATAGTACCTAAAAAGTAAAAACTCTGTTTGCAACAAACCTAAATTGCTTTTAGATAATTGTTAGTAGAGATGGGAACACCGTGTTGTACGTTACAACTGGTGATAACGATAACGAGGTGATAAAGCACACCATTAAATTTTTTTTTCGATTGGTAAATTTGGAGTAAATTTATTAATCGAGATTCACTTTTACTGCAATTTTATTTTCGTTTGGTAATTCTCGAGCGAAATGTATAACACTCGAGATTAATTTTTAACACTATCGATACTTTGCTAGAGTAGCACGATTATCATGAAGTAACAGCTGTTTTTTCTGACTTGATTTGATTCGATATATATATGTATAGAAAATAGAAATGCCTACTAACGCTAATACAAAAAAGTTAGATTACTCTAAAAATATATATATTGGGCAACAAAATTTTACAGATCGAGAGTTAATCCAGATTGGATCCAGCTAACGCAATTAGTAAGACCTTTCTTTACGGTATCATATTATTATTATCATCTATGATATTTTCATTATCTATATCATATGTATATGTTTATTTTATCTTTTTTTTTATAAATAATGTATTACATGTTTTTTCTTTCAGTTACCACCAGAGCCTACTACTTGTTGTATGTCGGGTTGTGCTAATTGTGTTTGGATTGAGTACGCGCAAACCATATCTAAAATATTAGATGGCAATAGTGAAAAAGTGAAGGAAATTGTATTAAGCAAAATTACAGATCCAAATTTAAAAATGTTTTTGACTCTTGAACTCAGAAATCTACAAACGCAAAATCCTAAAGCAACAGAGATGCCCAAACAGTCTTAGATTAATTCCCTTGTAATCAACCTGTTCTTAAACTTGCAATGATGATAGTGATAAATTATATATTTGTTTAAAATTTATAGTGTATATATTTTAGATTTTTAATTTTTAAATAAAAAATGATTTAAAATACTATCCGAACAATCATTTTTAATTTTAAGTACTACTTTTTTATGACTATGTGATTATGAATCAAACAACCTACATTGTAGTGTTTAGTACTATGCACCAACTCGAGTTTATGATGTTGTTGTTGCGATGATTTCAGGAAGGTCTTAAAGATATTGAAGAGGAAGCGAGGAGAAAACAGAATTTAATATCATTAAAAAAGAGATGGAATAGAAGAGAAGAGAATAGAATCTTAGAAAGAATAGAAGTCTTATTATTCCAGAGGTTGCTGGAGAAAAATAAATTTCATTCGTATTATGTATAGGGATTTAAGACAGAAACGAGTATCAACTAAACTTCTTCTAAGTCTAGTAAATTTCCAAAAGAAAAAGCGTCGAGTATTGACGCCGAATAATTGCTTATGGATTGTTTATGATATATATTTCCTTAAATGCGTTATAACGTGGATATATGGTCTCAATATCGAAACGAAGGCTCCATCGTAACAATGGCAACTTTTTTCAAGAAGTTCTAAACTATAACAACGAATCAATACTATTCCAAGGTGTAGATCCTTTTAATAGTTTTGATTGGAGTAGAGTTTTTACTGGCTCTTCACAAATTTTATAATTACAAATAGGAAAATTTTCATTCGTTATTAGGACAGTGGTTGTGAGTATTTGGAGATAAAAGCAGAAGATTAATTAAAATGTTTGGCAGATTTTCGACAATTATTATCTCTCAGATCTTTGTAATGACATTTAGGAGATTAAAGAAGAGACCCAACTTTTGAGACTAAAATGTGGTCAAAATTTGTATATATTTAAAGGAAATGAAAGAATAGTTCGGTTGAAGAATATTTGATGAATTATAATTGCTTATGAGTAATGCGGGGAGTGGAGCGAGCCATCTCATCAAGGTAGAGAGAAAGGGATTGAGGGGGAAATGAGTAATGCTGTAATGAACTCATTTCGGAAACAATGTTCTAAAGTAATGTGCGTTTTAAATGTTATAATTCTTGATTTTAA